GTATGTATGTATGTATGTATGTATGTATGTATGTATGTATGTATGCATGTGCGTGGATTGGATAACGGCTCACCAAAGAGGATCTCTACCTTACACTATAAATTAAAGGGAAACTGACAGATTTATGATCATATATATTTGTTAATAATGAAATATTGAATGATTATTTATTCTGATCACATCATATTGAATTTTTGTAAAAAAAAAAAATAAATTAAATGAATTTTTTTACACCAAAACAATTTAGGGGGGCTTTAAAATATTTTAGGGGGGCTCCAGCCCCCGCCCTAAAATAGGCCTAGTGACGCCACTGTGTTCAACACACATACAGTACATTCACATAGTAACAGTTACTGTTCAGGTAACAGTAGCAAAATGAGCAAAGGTACAGAGGTATAATAATGGATTATGCAGCAAAACAGCAGTTTTACAGACAATAGGAGGTCTTTGTTTAGCATCTATTGTCACATTCAACTTTTGTTAGTTCTGTTTTCAGAATAAAAAAGCAGCTCTCGCTAATACGTACAACTTAAACCATAATCCAAAAAACAATGAGTGAATTGTCCAATAAGATGTTCTCATCCTCAATACCTCATGTCTGAGAGTTTCACAGTATGTAACTAAGAACCAGCCTTTAGCTCATGTGTCTATTCAGAAATAAACTACATTTCTCCAAATGTTTAAAAAGTTATCTAAAAAATGGCAAATTATTTACTGTTCATTTATTTCCTTAAAAACACCATCTTATAAAGGTCTGAACTGTTACTGTAAAAATAAATAGTGTTTAAAACTACAATAAAAGTGTCTGGCAGTGATTTTATTTCTTTATTGTTTTAAGTAACATTTGGACTTTGATGTTGGCACAGCAGTGTTTTATAATGAATTTGCTGACCAAAAAATATAGAGCAACTCCTAAATGCTCCTCATTTTCTTCATAAACCAAAGCTATCATTGTAATCTACCTAGAATCAACTTGCTTGAAGCTGATGAACATTTAAATGATGTTATAATTGTTGCCAAATGTACAAAACAATGAATTTCATGTCATTATTTTTGTTTGCAGGCTTGTTCTCAGGGTGACATTAAATTCAAAATAATTCCTGGATCCTCCAACGAAGACATGCCATTTAATATTAAAAAGGTAAAATATATAGCTATATCATTTTTTTAAGTAGCATGCAATAAGGCTGCACAGGAATATGTAGATACCCAACCTGGATTCAATATAAATGGTTTTCAGATTTAGGGTTATAATAAACAAATAAAAATAATTTGTCGATATTTAGGTTTTTGCCATAAAAAACTTTAAATCTGACGTGGAAAAATTTAGAGTTCCATAATCCTTATGTTTAGAGTGAATTATGGGCTACCACTGCTCATGCACAGTGGATGACAAGCTGGAAACTTTCTTTTTTAAGCAAAGAGTATTTGCAATGAATCAAGGCAAATTCTCTTCAATGATTGTGGTCATTTTTCAAAAAGTGACCCCAGCGTGCAGGGAAAGCCAGACACAAAGGTATTTGCTGTGTCAGGATACAGATGTTTTGAAATGTGCAAAGTATAAAACACCCTGAATAAAAAATAATAAACACATTGAAAACTAAAAGTATTTTTCTATTTATTACCATTCTGTGTGTTTATGTGCAGTGGACTGTTTTCTCCTCAGTTTTTTGTGCGGGCTCTGTTTGACTACGATCCTGTGGATGATCCAGCCATCCCATGCAAGGATGCTGCCCTTGCCTTTAAAAGGGGCGACATCCTCCGTGTTGTCAGCATGAAAGACAACACCTGGTGGCAGGCCTGTTGCCTGGAGAATGGCAGCGATCGGGCAGGTCTCATTCCCTCAAAGCAACTGCAGGGAAGGTGATTATATTCTTTTATTCTTTTTGTTAGCAACAAAGCTTCGCAGAAAACATTTTACAAATTCGTTCAATCCTTGTCTTTTTCAGAAGAGTTGCATTGCAGCGACCCAAAGCCCTGTTCAAGCCTAGGCTGATCAAAACACCAGGTGATGAGACAGTTCTGTTCACAAACTCAAAAAAGCTGAAAGCTTAGCCAAACTTAAACTGAAGCTGTTTTTGCTGATACGATTAGATGTGAGGGTATATGTCTGAAGGTTGTTGTCAAACATGAGCCTGGCTGCCCATCACTGACATGTCCTTTTTCCTGAACATGCTACACAGATGATGAGAAAGGTACTGTTAGTCTGATTTTTAAAAGTCAACATCATATAAATTACAGAAATCGTAAATAAAATATAACATTACACATTTTAAATATACATGTGTGGGAATAAATGAAATATCAGAGCCAAGCATATAATTTTTTGTGGCTTCATGCCCTATTCTTTCTGTAAATCTTTTCCAGAGTTTCCAGTTACAGAGGACGAAGACTATGGAGCTATTTCAGGGATCCACATTGGTGAGGTGCTAGATTAAAATCTCACTGATACTTGTGTAGCGAGAATGAGAGGAGAAACAAGTGAGACTGTTTCTGCACTCTGCTACATTGCTTTTACCTGTTGGAGCACCAGGTTAGATTTTACTCATTAATACTTTGTTCACTCTTTATAAATCAGACTCAGACACAACAAAGTGTGAGATCATAGGATTCAGAGAACTCTTTTCATACGATGAATTTTCAGTGAAGAAGATCTTTATGGTATTTTATTACAAAAAAAGAAAAATCTAACTTCATTAAATATTGAATAAAAATAGTAAAGATTAAATACATAAAAGACAAATGCAACAAATGTTTAGGAAGTAGTTTAAAATTAAAATGATTTTAAGATAAGGTTGATGTTTAACCCTTTTTAAGAAGGAACAAAATAAATTTCTCCAAGGAAAATATTTTTTAATTTGGAAGTCTTGTCAACACGTCCTTCATTCCCTTCCTCCTCTGCCATTGCTTAATACAGCAGACTAACACGGTGCAGAAAACCAACATTGTCATCCACAACTCTTCATCCTGTTTGCTCATTGGCCCGGCTGAAATTCTACCAGAGGAGTCCTTGTCTGTGGGAGAAAGCCCAGACGTAGCTGAGAAGGGAAACTAAAACTGATTGGAACTGTGTAGGAAGACAAGAGTCAGGTTATTGCCCTATTAAACAGAACTGAAGACTACTGTAATCTCAAAAACAATGAGTGAATTGTCCAATCAGATGTTCTCATCCTCAACAACTCATATCTGAGAGAGGTTCTATTGCTTCACAGATGTAACCAAACCTATAAGAACAGAACCGTTCACATTTGTTCTTAATTAGTTTCCAATGAATGAAAAGTTATCTTCTTTGCTCTGCAGGATGAGACTTGCATCAAATCATTTTGGCAGCTGGTTTTAGTCCTAGTTCATCAGCTGCTGGCTTAAATCTCTGTATTTAAAAAAGACTGCATCAATACTCATTTTCAAAACTAAAAAAAAAAGTATTGGGCAGAATTACTTAAAATTGACAAATATTTTCCTCTAGATCCGTCTTGGCCCTACAAAAACCCCTAAAATATCTGAGTGTAATCAGTTTAAAACACTACCAGCTACTGTTTAAATAGTTTGTAAATGCTCCTCTGTAATAGCCTGTGTCACATAATTCACCCTAGAGAAGGAAATGTCTGAGCGTATTTACAATAAACAAAAAAAAGAACCAGTGTTAAAAAAGGAAATCCTGGCATCCTGACTCATAAAACATGCTGCCAAGCTGAGCCAAACCACAGTTACATGGCAGAGACGGGATGAAAAGACAGAAAGGCTATGGTGGCATTATCATGCCATAATGGTCGCGAGCCATCCCGCGCTCGCAAATTAATATACAAGTTTTTTTTTGTCCAAATTAAGATGAGTGTTGTTCAGCACAGGGCTTCTTACTAGAGCTTGGTTAGCAGTGGTGATGTTTTCTCAAACAGTACACTCATATGGCCTGTCATCTTCTTCCCTCTTCTGTCCCTGTTTAAAGCTGTACATTAGTTGTTCTGCTTATCAATTTAAACAACTTGTTCACCCACAGAAGCAATGTTAGATGAATAATAGTTATAAAGTGTAGAAAAAAGACAAATATACTGTTTTTAACAAAAGAATAATGATAAAAAGCTTCTTAAGCTTCACCATTCGGTGCTTTTGCATAAATGAAGTGAATACGATTGACAAACTGCAGGTTAACTAGTTTAATTTCACACACAGCCCTCATGAGTCTTAAAGCTCTCCTTTTTGTTACCTGCTCAATAACAACAATTAAAAATATTAAAAGTATAACAAAATAGTAAAAAACTTGTAAAAGTAGAGAATTTTCATTTCCTGTGTAAATGTGAGTGCTGAAAGATTTTTGCTACAATTTCTTTATTTTATTTAACCTTTATTTCAACAGGCAAAACATTAAGAACAGCTCCTTATTTACCATGTTGGCCTGAGAGTGCAAAAACACTTGAAACACTTAAAAATGGGAAGATGGGGAAGGGGAAACAACATAAACAGTACATAAAATGTATAAAATGAGCAGTACATTCATTCATTATAAAACGGCTAAAGAAGCTGAAATTTTTTGTATAGAAAAACGCGAGTTAATTTTGAACAGCTCACTTTTGTTGAAACCAAAAGTGAAGAATTGGTAGAAATAAAGCAAAATTGTGTCAATAATAATAATAATAAAAGCTGAACAGAGCAGAAATGTTGCTAAAATTAGAAGACATTAGTAAATGTTAGCAAAAAGTAATTTAAAAGGCATAAGTACATAAACTGAGATGACAGAATATGCTCATTGGTTAATATAGAATTAACCAATGATGGTCTCGTTGATGTGCAATACAGTTGCACTCCTGCACATAAATGAGGCCATCATTGGCTAATTCCACTTTGAATTACTGTCAGGGTCATATGCAAATTTTCCAAATGACAATGCTGGAAAAACACAAATAAAAATAAAAATCCAACAAATGGTTGATCTTTTCAGACTCTTGGCAACGTCAGTTGTGTGGAAGAATGCAGTGGACCCTCATTGTCCCTGATAAACCCTGGAAGGTTAATGACGGGTTTGAGCATGAGCAAGGTTGTGTTGGTTCATTATTTGGTAGCAGTGAATCTGAGTTCTGTAGGAGTGTGATCGAAGTTATGTCAAAAATGAAACGTCAAATGCTGCTGTGAACTCTGAGCTGTTAGAAATTAATAACATATTGTTTGGCCAAATTCAATTCAATTCAATTCAAAATTACTTTATTGATCTTAGAGGGAAATTAGGTGTTGTTGTAACTCATTTAACTAAAAACTTATTGTAGATGCTGATGACTGTGGGCAGGAAAGATCTTCTGTAGCGGTCTGTATTACAGCGAAGTTGAAGAAGCCTCCGACTGAAGACACTTTGTCTTTCTATGACAGTCTGATGAAGAGGATGGTCAGGGTTGTCCACAATTTTCTTGATTTTATGTAAAATCCTTCTTTGCACCATCATCTCCAGAGATTCCACAGT